CATCATGATGTAAAGCTTTTACCGCACTGTCAAAGACACACATCTAAAGACGACGACCCACCGTAATTCGCGCATTACGGTCGTTTCCTGGGGTGATTAAGGTGTGGATGTGGCCATGGCGACAACGGCGGTAAGTTTTATTTCTTTCTTAAAGCCACGCGTGCCGCATTTCCACACGATGACATAAGCGAATGCGGCTCGTGACGTGGTAACAATACATGCAAATTTATGGGCGATCGTTAGCCCGTGTGCCCATGTTTCAGGGACATCACGAACCCCCCGATTACGGTAATGTGGCGAGGACAAGGCTATGGGATTGAGATTATTGATGTGGGCTGATTATGACTCAGAGAGTAGCGCTTGATCAGGGTTCTAAAGATATAGTGGCAGACCATCTGAGAAAATTAGACGAGCTCTTCGGGTGTCAATCGATTCTTTGCGGTTTCCGGAAGGCCGAGAGGGTAGAATCGGCCGAAAGGGATCGGTGTTCGGATAAAGGGCTATATGTTAAAACCAAAATGGTATGAAGGAGATGGAAGTCAGCACTAGACTCACGATCAGCGGATCGTGTCCGTACAGGCCAACCAAGCTCTCCCATCTCTCAGAGGTTCACCAGTTGTAACAGGGGCTCGATTGAGAAGCTACTTACACTATTTTGAACTTCGAGTTGGTCTCAGACTGCATGCATGCATTTGTATGTACCAGACAGGTGATTAATACTTCCACGATTTTGTATGGAAAGCCATGCATGGCGCATCTCGAATTAGCAGGTATATTCCGACTGCTTAGGTTTTAACCACTCGAATGAACTCTGAGGAACTTATTCGGTGTCACCATAAGATAAATAATAAACGCTACTTCGATATTAACTTACTTGGGGAGAAAAAAAAACGTTAGAAGCGACTTATTGTTGGGCTGAGAGGCTACGGTATCTACCGTATCGGAGGCTTATTATACTAATTACTGTGGCAATTAAAATGGACCCTTAATGTGGTTGCGGATGTCAAGTACTCTGTTAGAAGTTGGTTTTATGGGGTGAAACCCGAGACTTTTGTATTTCGCTTATGCCTCCTCGAAGATTCCAATCCAATCAATAATTATCGACATTTTCTTACATATGCTTGCTTTCTAAGTAATTTCTACAAATTCCTGGCGTCCAAATGGAATCATCGTCTTTGTTTTTCACTAATGGTAAACAAAGATGACTCTGTGGTAAATAAAAACAGTATCGATTTCCTAAAAGCAGGTGATGCTGTGCTCAATGAGCCTAGTAGCCTACGTGATAACTGGTCTGATGCGTGACTCGGCTAATCTGCCTGCATTTCCGTTGACGATCGTATTGTCGAGCCGGTTTTTCCGCTCAACACTGCCGCCACCATCACCCACCTCCGCTCCCTTGGGTATTGTCCCGTGGGAAACAGCCGGTACCACGTCAAACTACGGTAGAAAAACGTCACCCGCAAAAACGTATCGCGGCCAATTAGTGCCTGTCGCGAACGTGGCAGATGCGCGAAAAAACGTCGTCTTGAAAGAAGGATGACGACAGGGGGACAGGTCATACGAACAAGCAATGAATCAGGATTTTTCACCGGAAAAGAAAGTACGTTGTTGATGACGGGTTGTAATTGGATCCTGTTGCGAGAAATTCCGATTCTCCTGATATGAATCAGAATTCTGGCTTGAAAATAGGCAGCTACCCCTGGTAATAACTCTGAGCCGAAGAGCTTGTACCGTGAAGTTGGAAGAGTTCTCCGAGTGCGGGTGATCACCCACTCTAGTCGCGAACTGAGCAGCTTCTCCGGTCCAGGTTTGTGCCTTAGGAGGCCTAAGAGAAGTCACCAAGTGAAAAGTACGTTCAAACTTTTTTTCAAAATATGCGGTCTCCAGTGGCATTATATTAGTATTAGTAGTAGAGAGAGTCCAGGCTGGTAATTTTCCGTGGAGTTCAAGGGCTGCTTTGCATTCATTTGATAAATCTGAGTACTAATATAGCGATCAGAAGAGGATTTCGTGAATGTCGGAAAAAAGTCTACAAGATAATCATTTCTCGTTAATTTCACTTGGAAATTATATCAACATCGAACAAAGCGCTAATAACTCTCAGCCGCTCTGTTTACTGACCTAAAAAAGTACCCTCTCAAGCTCCTCCACAGGAAGAAAGTTGGCGCCAGTCGAACCCACACAGAGTAGGACACTCCAAATCAATCTTTTTCAAGGAAATATAAAAGTTTCAGACCCCATCGAGGGAAAAAATGTTGTTGGCAAGAGAACAAATAGCTCAATCAGTGTTCTTATCACTATTTCAATCATTCAAAACATATCTTTCACTAAGTTTTCAACTTTGGGGTGAACAAAGGACTCTACCAACCCATGAAGGCCCATTTCTGTGCCATTACTACTGCGGAAAGGTTTTAAGCACCACTCCTCTGTTTGAATATTCAACTCTGCTTATTTTTTATTATTATGGACCTGAAGTTCCGAGAGTTTCTGCCAGCTGAAGGAGACTGTGTCATAAGGTTCAAAAATATCGATTTGAAATTCAGATTTTCTAAGTCTGTGTTAAGGCTACGCATTGTGGTACAATACCGGTGTTCAGAACTACATTGATTCCCTTGGGATTGGGCAGTTCTGAAGCCACGATGGAGAACTTTTCTTTTAACGGTACCACTCCTTCCTCGTCATCTTGCCATTCGGGAGGACGAGCCGCCAAGTTCTCAGTCAGCCCGGCCGCTCTCTACTTGAGCTCTACTGTAGAGCTTCGGCCATTGACCTATGACCCAAGTCGAAAGTTGTGGTAGAGAGCGCGAAACACCTCAGCAAACATCGTCAATGGGGAAGTGATGGGAAATCAAAGTAGGGACCTATACATTCCCCATACACAGCGTGAGTAGTTAGCCTAACTAACTAATTACAAGGCACAATAGTTCTTGAGTTAGCTCTGAATGACAACTAAAGGCAAACATTGCCAACTACACTCTATTCTTCTCATTATTAAGTGGCTTCTCAAGAGTATACCCAATGGGGGAAACTTTCTAACTAAGTGGAGCACTCCTGAGCCTCCTAGAGGAAATAACTACTACAGAGAGAAGTAATTAGGATCAGTGGAGGGTTCTGTAATGGATCCCTATGGGTTCATGAGAAACCCAGTAAAAAGTCCCTTAAAAAGGGGTGAGGGTTGCTATTTGAATAATAAAATTTATTTTTGATGATGGTTTCAATTAGAGCAGCTAACATAAAGACCTGGGAGGACCATTTTTTGTAGATTACGCCACGCATTTGACTGCCATTCAACGACGTAGAGGCATTTGAACGCGTATTTAGTCGAATTAATCACTAACAAGGATCAGGCATAGTACAGTTCCTAGCTTTAACAGTCTCATAGGGAATCTAGACCAAATAACTGGCTTCAAAATCGTCTGTTCTCTAGTCGCATGGGACTTACTGTATAAAATTACCCTGGAACTCGAACTCTCCAATATACTGCATCGACCTCAGTCGGAGATCGATTCTTTTTGAGCGGATAATCACTAAATAAGCTGAGTTGCGAAAGATTTCAAACTAAACAGCTAATAGAGGACAATAATATATTCTGGGCCATTGAAAACTGAATTATTGTTAAGCCTTTCGAATTCGCTTTTCTTTGAAACTGAACTGCTCTCCCGACTTCTTCTGAGGACGGGACTGCACAGTTCAAGGTTCTCTTGAATTTGCAGCAATCCCAATTTTTGAGATAGGAATGGTTGACAATAGCAACAGACCAGGGAATCAACCGAAAAAAAGCAAAAAGAAAAAGAAAATGAATAAATATAAATAGGATCGAAAACATATGATGGCACAGAAAAAGCGATCTATCCAATTCTAAGCAGAAATTAAAATATAGCGAAAAAAGGAACACCCTAGCTAGTAACCCATTAGAAACCCTAAAAACAGAAAAGACCCTAAAATTGTGGAAAAATTTACTAGAAGCAGAATGGAAAGGACTTCTACAGCATCTAGAAGACTTGTCAAGGTTGCACCTATTCATTTGCTTAGTCACCCCCCACAGGGCATTATGCAAAATCTATGAGCGATCAGCAGTGGCTGAATTCGAACCTAATGGTCCATGTCCAACTGCCCTATTTTTCCTCATAGCTGCATCATAAGCCATAGGCTCAGTTTTCCTACAGATGCTGTAGCCTTGAACATGACTTACTTATCGATTTCACTCCGTAACTTGTGCACGTCTTCAATTTCACTGAAGTCCGTCTGAGTGTTGTAGGTGTAGGTGGACATATTTGAAATGGTCCGTCGTGGTGGCGGTACCGGATGCCCATTATTATTACTGCGAAGGCTAAAAACTTATGACACTAGTTAATCGACGGTACGGTAGTGACGAATGAGTCATTCCACTTTTAGGTCTCAGTTCCGTTTGGGACGTACACGATCTAGGGAATGGAAACTACGGAGAGAACAATGTTCAACAGATTCTTATCCGACGACGAGTATGCTGCAGGGGTTCTCAAGAATTTGAAGAAAATCCCAACACAGTATAAACCGAAAAATCAACTGTGAACTAACAAAGGAATGCCCAAAATAAATCAACGTGACCCTAAAATAGCTTCCAGGAAGCAGAACCAACGCTCCAGAAGGTGCCCGGGGAACCACTCTGAGAAAACTAAATAGTAGCTAAGGAAACTAGGAGGAAAAGCAAGAACTGAAGACCCTCAAAGACCCGAATGCAGGCAAAGAAATAAAAAAGTTGGAGAACGAAAAAATTGGCTTACTTCTCAAGATCGTCTTTGAGCATTGCTTTCTCCTTTCGAACTGCGTCAAGTTCAGCTTGAATAGAAGCGATCTCATCTTTTCGGCTGCAATCGGTAGATTTTTTGATTTCAGCCAAGATAAACTGCGGTAAACCTGGTAACTAGAGATAAGTAGTGACCCATACAAACTAGACTGAGTAGAACGAAATACTAGCCTCTCCAAAAAAAAACACCCTAAGGCCCATAGTACAGCATAGTTTACCCGAAAACTTACTCAGGTTTAAAAAAACATCTGTTGAAAATTGAAAATTCAAATTACTTTCGACCAATCAAAGATATGAATCGCATACACTTTCTCTGCTTGTTCAATGGATGAGCGCTGATCTTCGATTCTCGACTCCATTACTTTCATCTTTGCCCTCAACGCCTCTAGATCAGTAGCCAGCTTGTCACGTTCGTTGGTTGCTCTAAAATTGGATATTTGTACACAAAGTAACCAACGGTTTCAACCAGTTCCGTTCTGGGATGCACCCCGCATTCGACTTCCATTGAGAATTGTGGTGGCGGTTTGAATGTACATAGGGTCTGTACAATGACATTCACTGGATAGCCGATGAATATGTCAAGACTTTTAAACTTTCGGCTGTATCTGTACAAGTTAGCCGACTCGGTAGGCATGAAAGGGTCGGCTGGTCCGAGCTGGTATAAATCCGGGATTAGATTGCCGGACTGAGAATGCATCTGTCGCCACTAGGCCACCTCGCCCTACTTATGGGGAAATCCGGGCAAATAAAAAGCTATGGGGGAATTGAAAAATAAGGTAACCTTAATGGCGGTAAAACCTACATCTTGAGTTTCTCGTTGTATTGTTTCGTGATTACTTCTTTTTCCACTTGCAGCGTTTCCTCAGCCTGTGAATGAGCCTTCAGAACTTCACTGGCCAAACGAACGTTTTCAGCAGCCAACGCACTGATCTGAAAGGATCTCGATAAACATGACGTTCTTCTCGTAATATAGACGGTACTGTTTAAAAATTTGTTCTTGAATTCCCTGGAATCTTATTTCTAAGTTTCAATCCACGACGCTAGATATCAAACAAACGAAAGTATCGGTCAAACTCGGTCAATCTTCAAACAGTACGCTTTTACTTCATGAAGATAAAGGTCCCTGAACGTTTTTAAGATTCACCATTTAACACGGGAACCCTTTGATTGAATCGGCGCCCCTATCCTTTTGGGCTCTTGACTGCAGATCATCAGCTTAGAACTGATCTGTGGGAATTCTTTGGTGCTCACAGCAAAGAATTCCACGTGCCGTTCAACATTACTTCCACAAAAAAGTTAATTCTGTATACAAATAAATAGTTACGACTTTAGTTTTGTGAATTGTTAGTATTTCGGCGCAGTACGCTATGTAGAAGTATTGAATGATAAGCGAGTAATGAGCAAAACTTCGGCCTCTGACGAGACTCGAACCCGTACTTGCATTTTCCGCGTACCGTGCTCTGTTTCCCTTACAGACCGAGACGCAGCTTGCCCTTGCCTATTCAAGACGCCTACCCCTATCACTTGTTACCTATCAAGAAGTATCATTGACGACAAGAGGGGATAGGATGAACTCTTATTCTATGATCAAGTTATCAGTTCACTCTTACTGAAAAATTGAAAAAATTAGTTTGGAATATATTGGGAATATTGTTCGGAATATGGAATATGTATGGAATACATTTAATCAGGGAGGAATCATAAACTGAAAGTGATAAAACAATACTCCGCTTCTTGGGCTGAACCAGTGAAGCCTACGTCTAGGAAAGGGGCATGATGCGAGTGGTCCGCACTCGCAAATAACTTAATGACTACGAGGAAAAAACTTCTTTTTTACCTTAGCTTCCTCTTCAGAGCTGTTGCGAGCCTCGTCAAGAAGACGCTCTTTCTCATCCATTTCAGCTAGCCACCTTTTACGTTCTTCGGTCAGTTCCTCACGCTTTTTCGCTTCGGTTTCCAGGAGCACGGTCATGTTTTGCAGATTCTCCACCATCTCAGCGTTGTTTTTCGATGCTTGACTTAAACGGGTCTCCAGATCGACGATCTAAATACGTGGGGTCACTTGCGGCGAATGCTTGTTCAACGTCACTGAGTGGATGGATGTTTGATGCTCTAGACAAGACGTTATACGTGATTTTCAGATTCAGAGAGATTCAACAATTTCGAAAACTAGCTCTTCCGCTGTTTTTCGATGAAAATCTTACTCGAGCAATTTGAGGAACTGGTAGTATATCTTGGAAGTAAGTATAAGTAAAAACTGACTGCATTTTTTGGGTGGAAACTCGACTGAATTAACTAGTAACTAATCCCAGCACATGGAAGCAGTGGGTGTAAGTTAAAGATAAGGGAAATAAGCACAAAAAAAATATAAATGAAGTGAAAGATATGGAATTCAGAACGGCTGCAGGTTCCGTTTTATCGGGAAAAATTTCAGTTCTGGAAATATTTCCATGAAATCGTGACGTCGTCAGATCATCCACGCGACTAAATACGTTACTGGGGTAATGGCTTCGTATACATCTTTGAGATTAATGTCAAGATAATACCCGATTAAATCCATTTCACATTTCAATAGCTTTCGCCGAAAACAAATTTTTAAGCATTCGAATTCAATTTATGTTAAACCTAACTGGCAATTCTCCTCACAGTGATAGAAAAGAGTAAAAGCATTTTTGAATCCAAGCATTTTTGGCTTTCTGACAAATCATTCCATCCAAGCATTTCGAACTAAAACTGTTTCTTTGTGTTGAACCGCCGAGATATAAGGGCACCATTTTGCTCGGAAAACTTCGAATGAAACGGACTGAAGACTTATATGGAGGAGGGTACTTGAAAAAAATCCCAGTAGGAGTTGAAAGTATACGGCGAGACACCTTTTTGATCATACTCTTCTACTGAACCAAATTACATAAAACATCGTTATCATATGCTAAACCATGATATCAATATTTCACACTATTCAGTGCCCAATTTGTGTTCAGAGAATTTACAGAAAAAAACTCAACTCCGATGGGAAAAATAGGAGAAGCAAAACCTCCACCGAAATTGTTCGATTTCAAAATCAACACGTAAAAAGAACTGAAAAGCACTAGTACTCAGTGGAAACTTTAGATTTTTGATCATTTTGTTTAGTTTGGACACATATTTCTTCTTCCTCAAACCCAAAAAGGCATGGTTCCTTGGAAAAGCCTCAGAAACAAAAATTAGCAGAAATTCATGCATTCCCAAAAATAAGAGATGGTCCAACTGAAAAGTGGGTGGGATAAAAGCACATATTTGTACTGACGTACTTGGATGGAGGCCGCAATGTGAGGGTGGCCTTGTCAAATTTACTGCGAGTTAATACAATAGTGGCCAGTTTGTGATAATGACATTTTTCAAAAGATTCCTCTCGTTCTACGATATTAAACAAAGGAAGTGAAAAAAGAAAAATTGTAATGGTTAAGTGAAAATGATTCCGAAAAGAATAAAGAAGTAAAATGGATTTGACAGAGCTCCAGATAGTACATGGAAGAAATGGGAGAGCGCTGGTGACAAAACCTCCCAACTTCAGCACCCACCTTCTTGTTTAGTTTCTCACACTGCTCGATATGGGATGTTGTCATCTCCGCGTTGGTCTTTCGTAATTCCTCGATTTCTTTCTTAGGGCCAGCCGTCTTTTCTCTCAATGTTGTTTCCAGCTTTTCGACTTCAATACGATGTGATTCACTGGCGTCCGCCAAACGTCTCTCGGCTTCATCCAATCGTTTCTGATAAAGTTCCTCCGTCTCCCGTTTCTGATTTTCCAGTTCTTTGATCTGTTCTAGCCTTGCAGTCTCCATATCTTCGATCCGTTTCTCTAACCTAAATTCAAATCAATATAAGGGTCCTTCCAGAAATTTATAATAGTCATAACTTGATTATTTTCGGATCCTAACAGGCTGGCGACCCGAGCTCGATCATTGCTTAGGACTAAGCCTGGAGGAGTTAGGGTTTTGATTCTGGTCAATCTCATTGAGGAATTATGAACGGAACTGTGTTCCGTACGCCTTCTCAAGAAACTGGGTCCCATTTTATCCCCCTCCCCCTCCCCTTCCCCCACACCGACACTTTAGCATCACCAAGGATCGCCTAGCTCAACTTACCGAAGGTAGACGTCAGAGCCTCAAGATTCACGAGGCTGATCTAATGAAAAAAAGAAGCTGGCGCAACTGTCGAACTCACCGTTCTTGATGTGCTCGATGCTCCGCGGCCATCTCCTGGAGCTTAGCCGCTTTGTCCTTCTCGAGCTCTTCCAGTTGTTGTTTTATCCGGATAGCTAAATTCTCATTTTCCAGTGATTTTTCCGAAGCTCCTTGGGAAAATCCTTGAATATTTTGTAGGCTGGACTTCATTTCTCCGTACTCCTGAAGTGCAATTACTTTTAACGGAAAAACAATAGGTGAGTTTGAAGTTAAAGGCGGGAAAGTTTATGGCCCATCATCTGAACCAGTTTGAATTCTAGAATAAGATTTAACAGCATTATCTTGCTTGCTAGCCTTAGGCCCATGAAACTAGCTGTTAAGGCAGTCCTAGGCACAAGAAGGTTGTCAGAAAAACACGATTTACAATTAAACACCCGCGTTTTCAAGGTAGTCAAGGTTTTCTAAAAAAGGTAGGCACCCAAAGGAGCGCAGCCCAAAGCAGCAAGTCATAACGGAGAGTAATGAAAGGTAATGCGCAAAACTTCAATTGAATTAAATAACCACACGATGGCAGGAAACTTACTCTTTCCACTTCGGCCAATCTCGCCCGAGCCGCTTCATAGCGCTTCACTTCGGCTGCTGTGACTTCCTCGGCGGCTTTCAACTTTTCTTTCATCTCGGCCACTTCTTCTTGGAGTTCCTCCACCTGGAAATAATAGCTTCGAAAAGATGTGGATTTGTTGAAGTCTCGAAGTCATAATGGGGCATGACGATGATAAAATTCCTTTACAGACAGTATCTCCCAGCGCAAACTTCATGCCAGCACCTCATTTGAATCCCTGCGGAGATCCCTGATCTCCCACCTACTACTTACGCTCTACAAGTTCTTTATAGGGAAAAACGACGTCTTTTCAAAAGACTCGGAGCGATTCTCATGAAAAAAATCCTTAGCCGTCTTCGAAACTGTTCAAAACTCTCTTCAACAGACCTTCTCTCGTTGTTCCTCCGTTACTTCCAAGAGCTTCTTCCTCTCCTCTGTGGAAGCATCTCGGAAACGGTGATGCTCCTCTGAAATAAGTATACACCCTAGCATTCTGGGTCACTTTTGTCGTTTTCTAGAACGATTACTTACAAAACTTTTTAGCTTACCTTCTAATTCTCCAACCTTCGAACGACTGGTGTCCGCTTCCTTTTGGATTGCCTCACATTTCTCCGTAAGCTCACGGAGTTTCCTCATCGACTCCTCTTCGGCAACTTTCTGTTCACTCTGCATCCTCTTCAACTCGGCTTGCAAATCTCGTGTCTCTTCCTTCAATTTGACGTTTTCAGCTTCGAGTTTGGTGGTGTTCGATTCCAGTTCTGCTTCATGTGCTTTGTGAGATTCGGTAGATGATTCGAGAGCGATGAGCCTGAAGAACACAATCTCGCATGAGACCATATCGAATCAATCTACAGTAATGAAGCTCTAGAAGGAACATCACCGGAAAAAAAGCTTCTCAATCTAACCTGCCACCCCTCCTACCACTCGTTTCTGCCACCCTTTAAGGGCTATGTAATGTACAGGTCACTGAGAGGGCAGATGGAGGCGGCCAAATGAGCTAGACGACCCTTTCAGACAAAATTCTACGCCTCAGAAGTGGAGTGTGAGACTATGAATACAGTTCTACGCCACAGAAGTGGAGTGTGAGACTATAAATACAGTTTACTGGGCCCCTACAGTACACCAGAACTTCATTCACAAGCCACCGTCTCTATAGCAATCATTTCAGGAGATTTTAAATAGCAAAAGAGAAAAACTTACTTCTCCTTCTCATTGCTAATCCGTTTCTCCATAACTTCCTTTTCTTTCTCAGCGGTCTCTGCTCGCCCTTTCCATTCTTCACACTCTTCCATAGATCGCTCTAGTTCTTCCTTGATTTCTTGAACTTGTCTATGCAGTGCTCGGATTTCTTCTTGGTATTGCCTGAAACTCGATATCTACAGTCGCAAGAGGCGAGGATAAATAGGCAATGCACAACAACACAATAAACTGAGGCGTAAAGAATTCTAAATTATCGATTGGTTAGATTTTAAGGTAAAAATTACCGTACCCATTCTCAGCACGCACAGCTGATAGAGACGACATCAACGTGTTCAATTCATCAGCAACTGACGCCCTTGACTCTAATTTCTTCTTCTCATTCTGAAGTCCAGTGAGCTCCTCTTCCAACTTTTTGATACGTTCTGTCTTTTCATTCAGGTCGGCATTTGATGCCTTGAGTTGTTTTTGAACATCGGATCTGAAAATAAGGAAAAAGATCGAAGAGCTTCTTTATGAGTTGCGCCTACTGCTCTCCTGATTACATGTGTCTTTAGTAAGGGAGGGTGAATCCGGATTAGACAGATTTAAATTCCTTTTAAATTCTAGCGCCTTTCACCTCCTACGATAAGTGACCTAATGATCCAAGTGGGCAAAATAGGCTTTCATCAATTCCAAAGAATAAATTGCAATAAGTTTTTTTTGAAATCCAACTAGTCCTGACTGTTTTTGAGGAAAATTCGAAGTAGCGTAATCGTGAGAAAGAGCTATCCTGAAGGGAACACCCGACGAGAAATTACATTTCATAAATTTTTCTTTTGACATTGATCGAAAGAAACGTACAATTTAGCTTCCGCTTCCGTCCTAGCCTCATCTGCAGCTCCCAGTTTCTTCTCGAGCTCATCAATCAGTTGTTTTTGACCCTTGGAGGCTTCCTTAAAACATACCACAAATTATTTGGTAGTGTCAAGTGGCAAACTTTACCAGTTGACTTGGTCTCGAGGAAGATTTCAAAAGCCGAAACTCACTAATGCCGCCGCTTCAGCTTTTTGATGGCGTTCAAGAACAACGTTGTGGCGCTCTTCAGACTTTTTGAGCTCTTCTTGTAGCAATTCCACCTGAAGCGTTTCAATAGAAGACGATTCGTACAAGCCTCGTGATATTTTTACTTTTTATAGAAATTATTCTTTAAACGAGTTGCTTTTTCTGAGGGCGTCACTTAGGCATCCACATTTTTTAAGAATATTCCGAAAATCTAATCAGCGGATTCTTTTTCATGTA